AACTCTGCATGCGAGGAACTCAGGTGCCACACATTTCCTGTGCCCAAAGCTTTTAGCAACAGCCTTTTCCAGGTGAAAGCAAGACTGTGACTCGAGCCGTGAGTAAACATCATCTCTCTCTTGATCCTGCAATAAGCCCAGTAATGAGGCCAAGTACTTGGCATTAAGATCACAGAGAGCTCGTCTTCCTTCAGTCTCACGCCGCACAGTCAGACGCCGTTCGCCACTGCACACACTTCTTTTTTTTCCTCCTTGACTCAGTTTTGTGGGAGATGAGAACGTCTGCACGGGTGCCGTTAGTCACTATGGGATAGCAATTGGGTTTACAATAGGGGCTTTCTGAACAAACATGATGCTGTGAGGCCTGTCACGCAGCCATTTTTACAACGTGAATCAACACAGATCAATGTCTTGCAGGCCTTTTGATGCACTATAGTTGCAATTGATTAATTGCAGTTGTTTGTCCTCACCACTACACAATTACAGGTTTGTGTTTAACTGTACTTGCATCAAAAATTATTCATTATTCATACACCACTGCAGCAATACAAAACATTTTTAAGTTTAACTAAACTTGCATCAGAAATTTTTTTAAATGATTAATTGTTAAAGTACATTTTTTAAGGTTTTTAGATTTTTTGTTCATGTTAGGGAATGATTTAGTAGTTAGAGATTCAAAGCAACCTTTTTGAAGTCTCTCCCCAAATTTATATTAGACTTATATTTTTATTTCATTCTGATAAACTGACAAAGTTGCTCATTTTCTAACTAGGAGTGATATATTTTTAAAAAGTATTTCATTCAAGATTAATAAGTAAATGTGGTCATTTAATAGTTTTTAATAACTAAATGCTTACATAAACTTTTTTAAACAAGTGAATTTCCTAACAAATATCTTTTTCATTATTATTATTATTATATAAAATATTATTATATTTTAAGGAAGAAAAAGGGAAAAAATACAAATACAAACAATAAATCATATGTAAAAAAAATTATAACTCATAGGAAATTAAATGAACAGTTGACTGGTCACAAATTCCACATTAACAAATACATATAATGATCAGTTTACACTGGGTAAAACATGCATGCATGTTAACTTGATTGGGTTATCTGGTCAGATTTCTCCAGCAAAAATCTCGCTACATATAGTACCAGTACTGGAAGATGTGGCCTGTACTTAGTAGATATTTAACCAATTTTCCTCTGAGATAACTAGGTTGGATTCTCTCTCCTATTTTTCTCTATTCTCCATTTAAGGAAATTAAACTACTATTTCATTATTATTATTATTATTATTATTATTATGTTAAATCCTTACATAACTGTGAAATAACAACAATGATAATAATAATAATAATAACAATAATAATGATATTAATAATAATAATATTAAGAAGAAGATGAAGAATTCTTATTAAAAATTGCTGTAATTTAAATTAACTATGTGAATTACGACAAAGTGTAAACATTGAGTTAGAAAAATGATTAATACTTATTATAAAAATAACATTTTAATTAATTTTAATACACTTTTCTTCTTTGAAATCATTATTGCCTCATATTGTGCAAGAAGCCTGGCTTTTAAATTACAACAAAAAAGAATTTAATAAGCAACACAACTTTAGTTTGCTTTATCTTATTGTTTTATATCTTTTTTATTTTATTTTGCAACCCCATTAGGAGTTTTTAAGGCCCCCTAGTGGGCCCTGGGACCATGCAAGATGCAACGTTTAATAAGTATTTTGGTCAGGGCTTTAAATTTGATATTTACAGAAATTAATTACAGCTGTAATTATATGTATTAAAGAATAATGTAAACATGTAGCTTATCCACAAAATAAATAACACTATAAGAGAGTTGTATCAAAAGATACATTTAAATGCTGGTATAATACTTTGACATAATTGAATACACAGCAAATTCATTAGAGTTAAATTATCGGTGTTGAAGCATTTCAGAGTAAAGTGTTGACGTTAGTTATTTTAATAAATGAATATAATCAGAGTTAGAAGCTGCTTTGATCCAGTGCAAACCCTATAGGGCTAGTCTGTAAACATTTTCCAAAAAAAAAAAAATTCCTGTGAATACTTTTAACTTCTTCACACCATTTAATTACACAAATTAAGTTGTTGAACCTAGCCATAAGAATCTGTTAAGGAGTTCACCACATCCACACTAGAATTCAGTTTTGTTAATAATTAGCCTACCAATATCAAGCCACAAACATTTCAAAAGAGTTCATCTACATTAAAAGCTTGTGCTTGGCTTGCTACTTTTAAAACATTATGAAATATTACAGACAGCATATCGTTTTCACGTCACGTGAATCTTGACAGATATGATTTCTCGAGCTCCGCGTTGTGGATGTGCGGCGTGTTTGTAACCCCGTGACTGCACGCTTGTGTTTTTATTTGATGCTTGGGAAAAGAGCACCACTTGGGTGGTTGGAGCCCAGGCAGAATCCCGAAGTCTAACTAACCTTTAATCCTTAATCCTCAACCCAAACCTGACCCTTCCTGCATTTCCCCGCGTCTAGTTGTCGGACGCCTGCCTTAAACATCCTTAACCCAAAACATTAGGAGTTCTCTGCTGAATATCAACGGTACTTTTTAAATTAACTGGTTATTACAACTGATCATTAAAACTTTGGATTTTTTATTAACGCATTAGCAAATGTTGAACTGATTGTTCATAAATTTTCAAGTGTTGTTCATTTTTAGTCCATTTTAGTATAACTAACATCAACTTATATAAAGTCAAAATAGCCTACGTTTTCAAATTTTAATTCGTTACGTAAATGCAACTATAATTGTTGAATAGTCTCCGATTTTCTTCTGCCTGTAGTCACACGTGTATCATTGCGTTTATTGTAATTATTGTAGATAACGTAGGTCTGATAAATAAATTGATTATTTGTTTTCAGCTGTGAACTTTAGACTCTTTACGTTGAGTGTCAATAATTTCGTTCCCCATAATATAGATAGCATAATATCAATTCCGCATCAAAAGCTAAACATGTCAGTTTTATTTAAAATACATTTCAATGATTGGGTGATAAATTGTGACGTATGCTTATTTCAATTTGATGTTAACTTCTAAAGAAATTAACACTTTATTATCATCATCATCATCATATAAATGATTACACCGAGACACATGGTAGGAAAAAATAAAAACACAGCACCTGCAGGTCCAAAGTCAGTTTGTTGCTGAACTTTGATCTCCATTTATCACAGGTAAGTATGCTAGTAATCATATTTGCATTTAAAACTGCTTCCTTATTTCACTGTGACAGTCACTGTGGAAGGAACCACCATGATCAGGTGAGCTTTAGCTTGTTATGTCTCTCTGTAAGTTTCTTCTATCTTTTTAAAAAATATTTTTCAGTGTGCAAAGATATGACCACGAACATTTGTGTGTTTTTTTTTTTCCCACATTAAAGGTTTTCTGTTGTAATCTGCCTATCAGTGCTGCTGTTCAGCACTTCAGCCAAACCATACAGACCCAGGGTATGTTTAACTTCTAATATGGACACTCTTAATTTACAGAAAAATATTTGGACTGTCTTACGTTACAAAAAGAAAAAAATAAACAATGGCTATAGTCACTTTTAATTACAGCTGTTTTTACAAGGTCTGCCATGACCCTTCTTGCGTTTCTGAGCATGAAGAAAAAGATGTAAACAAGTTAGCTTTCATTTTGACGTATTCAGAATCTATCTTTGATCACTGATCTGTGTATATGTTATAAAAAAATATCTAAAGGTTATCGTTTGGCTTGTTACTTTTATAGGAAAGAGTGTTCAAGGCTGACAATGCAGTTCAGGACACTATAGTGTAAGTACTTGTCTATGTAAAAAACTATAAATAAATAAATAAATAAATAATCTCACAAATAATTGAATCAGGACCATCTTTTTTTTCCAAAGCAGTTTTGATGAGAAGATGTTCCTAGGAATGAAGGAGGTGGAGCCAAAGGAGGACATGGATATTACAGATTTTGACATCGATCCTGACATGATGGTTTGGAAAGCTGCAAAAGACGAAATCCTGCAGAAATACAACCGACCTGAAGAGGATAAAGACGCTCTCTACCACCCCTTTGACATGAAACATCCAGTTGACCCTGAAATCTATGTTCAGCCACAAGGATATGACCGGGTACTGAAGTATGACAAGCCAGAAGAAGACAGAGATGATCTGTACCATGGCAGGTTTAATGTAGCCAAGGAGCCAATCAGAAGAGAGAAGGATGTAATTGGAGGTAATAATGTCAGACCCATTTACTCAAGCCCTGAAGAGGACAAAGATGACCTGTACCACGCCAAAGTCAGAGGACAACCGTCTGACCAAGAGGCTCAGCCGATTTATTTCTTGCCCATACGCCCCAAAAGGGTTCACACAGAACCAGAGGTAGACCTGGATGATGTTTATCATAAGCAATGATTAAATTATGTCATGTCTAAGGGACTACAATTATGGATCATATCCTTTTAATTCCAATTAATACATTTATTTAATTGAAAATGTTTTTTAGCATGTCAAAATGTTTAGCATGTCTTGAACTCATCAAAACAATAATTAATAAGCCTTATTAACTTATTGTTTAGTACTGAATGTTTTAAACAAATGTAGGAATCTTTTATTTTGAAAATATATAATACAATGACTGAATGTATTTTATAAGAGGGCAAAAGTATGACATTTTCATTGTTTTAGAAATAAGCTATTCACAAAGCTTAATTGTTAACTCACAAAATGAAATGTGATCAGCTGTGGATCGAGCTACACCTGCAAAGCTAAACTAAAATAAATGTTATTTTTAAATTTGTTTTATTAAATGAATTGCCTGATTTCCAGAGACCTACAGAGATTATCAACAGAAAGAAAAATGTTTGTCATCAAAATCAAAAAATAAAATTAATAACTTACATTTTTATACAATTATATGCAATCCTTTTTAATGTATGTGCAATATCTATCGGTCTACTAACTTTAGCACTGACAAAGAGCTCTCTTCTTTTAGCATTGTTCTTCAGGAGGAATGACACCTTTCTTGATGATGAGATTTCCATACAGTGCAGTCTCCCTAACAGGGAGATTTAAATACAATTAATTATTATTATTATTATCTGAAATAAACAGACCACTTATAAATAATAGTTAAATGCTCACCCAGTTGCAACTACAGCAAATGCTTTCTTTGCACGCTCATAAAATGCAAACCGCTCAACAGGCTTCATGTTACCCTGAGAAGGAAAAAAAAAAGTTAATTTCTACTATACCTATACTGAATACACAACATTTTAGTAGCAATGAATAGTCCTCATCATATGAGTTATGACTTTATTTGTATGTAACTGCTTACATCTGATCCTGCTTGTTTTAGGAGCTCTGAGTACTGGTCCCATATCGGCACTTTCAGCCCCTTTAATAAGTCACTAGGCACAAGGTCCATGACAGCTGCCTAACAATTCAGACAAAACCTACAATTATGTAAAGTTACAAACATGAGCAAACTGAGTTTAACTTTCAAAAAATGCCACATGTCAGCACTCACCGACTCATCATAAGTATCAAGAGGAAAAAGCTTCAGGATTGCCTTCAGAAGTTCTGGTATACGCACACCTTAAAACAGTTTGGTTAAACATTGCAATTAATGCTTATTGGAAAACTATGATTTATTTATTAATTATTCTAGAACTAATGTAATTATGTTAAATCAGAATAAATAAACATGAGATTTGTATAAAAGCATGATATATTTATTTATAATAACACTTTTTAGCAGTTTATTTTTTAAATAAACAATATACATTTCATTGGTTTTCACGTTTGAAGTGACATACCATCTGCTCTTATCTCCACCGGACCACATTTACAAACAGATGAGGTTGGAAAATTTGCATCTGCAAGAACTTAAAAAAAAGTGACAGATGAAGACAATCGTTCATTTCTTAGGTATAATATTGTTGTATGATGTCTCGTCTGTTCTCAAGACAAACCAGAGCCACTTAAAGCTGTAGACGGACAGAAAACCGACGCTCTTCAACATCAGTGGGAGTCGAAAGAGTGGATATGTGCTTTGGCTTAGCGATAATAAAAATGTGACATTTTTATGAGAGACAGCCTACAGAGATTTTGAGTGACATTTTGATGATCGGAATGAAAGCGCAAAGTTGCGCGGTGAGGAGCGCAGCCAAAGTAAGATCACTTCCCGGTTTGCTGGCGAAGTAGGAGTTATATACATGGCGACTTTACATCGTATCTAACTTTATGCAGACCGATGACAATGTATGAACCCAAACAGATAAGTATATTGTCCTGTATTTCTCCAGACATCACGTGCGTTCATGTTACCTACAGCTTCAGAATGCTTGGCTTGACGTTCGTAAAAAAGACATGCTGTGATCTGATCTCATTATCGACTTACCTAGTTCATCTCCATGGCCCATTTGCGCCAAAACATACAATAATTCAGGCGTAAGTACAGAGGGAATTCCTTTAAGAATAACCATTTTAAAGCAGTGACAGCACACGAGCAAGTTTATGAGGAATCATGTGACCGTTTGATGTCTTTCAATTGGTTAAACCAAACACAATAAAAGCTACGTTTCAAACGCAATCTGCGTTTAGACTACGTAATTTGCGTACCAGACTGTAGCCTATCCTATTTTATACTTTTATGTGTTCATATACGACTGGTTATTACATCTTTTTTGGTTTCATAATGATTTAGAGGATTTTAATGTGTTTATGAACGTACTTTTTTGCAAGATACCTAAAAATTTGAGACAGAATAACTTAAACAGATAAACAGGGTAAAAACTGCTAATTAGAATTTCGTCGAGGTAAACATGACCGATATTAAAGCCGAGCATAATTTTATTTTATTTTATTTTAAATAGCATACGTTTTAAATAACTGGTGAGCCTATGTAATTATGCGACATACAAAACAATGAATTAAAACTTCTACAATAAAACAGGACTTGGCTATTAAATTTAAATGTAGCATATCAACAGGTGTTTTCATAATACCTAATGTTTCACATTACAAACGACTCCGCAATAGCGACACAGACTACCATAATGTATCTTATAAACCACACAGGCTAATTAGGCGAATCTCGAACTAAAACTAACATGTTGTGGAAAAATATAGGCCTACGTGTGGCTACTCCATCCCATCACTGAGACCACGATTCTGAGATGATTTTTTAACGCATGCTATTTTAATTGTATTGACAATAAAATCACACAAGGTGATGATGCTTAAAACTGGCTTTTATATGCCTTAAATGTCTTAAAAATTATTGTCGGTATAAGGTAAATTATGCAGAAACACAACACTTGAAATTTTTTTTTATACATAGGCTTGCCTATTTGGGACATTTATTTAAAGATAAAAAAGAATAATTAGCAAGCTAGTTGAGCTTAAATTCGCGTCAAAATGAAGAAGGACACCTCGACGTGTTGCTGCTACTGATGAAGAGGAGCTGCTGCTGATGTGGTTGCAATTTAGAGAAATTTGCCCCAATAGAGGTGTGTGTGTGTATGGAGGCTTTGCAGCTGCGAAATGTAGAGTGAAAGATGGAAGACTGATGGAAGAAAAGACATTCGGAGGAGCCAAGACTGTCTGATCAGTTCAAAGCTCTTTTCTTTTACCGAGGAGCCATGCTGTTCACTCTTTGGTTCTGCTTTTTTAAATGAGTTTATCACGCTATGAGGAGCTGCCTCTGCCAAAATGTAACGTTTTGCCCCTTTTGTCTGCGCTGAGCGCCTCAATTCGGTCTACATTTATTATTTTGACCTTTCGTTAGCAGGGGATAGACTTCAAAGTGGAACCTCTCTTTTGCTGTCTTTAAGGAGACCTTTGTGCTGTTGCGGTGTGTGGAGAGAAAGTTTTTTCTCCTCTTTTAGAAGTTTTGTTCCAGGGGCTGAGAAGAAAGCTGGACTCTGAGGGAATATTGAATGAAAATTAAAATCAATTAGGCTATGGACTTTTGAGAGTGTTTGGAAAGACGCCGTGCGAAGAAAAAAGGAGCCGAGATTTTCAAGTGAGAAAATGCTCTCAGTTGATGTGCGACTGAGATGAATAGGCTCGTCTTATAATTACATTTGCTGTGGTCTTTCTGGACGCCGTTTTGTCAGATAAAATGGTCGGTGTTTAATGCGTAAAAGTGGGCTGTAAGTCCTCTGGTGATTCTAAACATGACATGTGACAATTAAGCGACGTTGAAAACTTTGCTGTTTCTGTGAAAAGTTTGGAAAAAGTTTAGAAAGTTTGAGCGTTTAGACATTTCATATTTCTATTTATGCAATGCAAAAACGAGAAAAAAGGCTATTTATTAAACAATCTTAAAAAGAAAGAGCTTATATTAATAAAATGCGAATAAACAAATAATCTAATTATAGTCCGTCCTCAAAAATAGGCTATAGAATTAATAAAAATATGATAGGTTTTTTGAGAACTTTCCAGAGAACAAGCTTAGATAAATGTACTTATTTAATTTATCTTATTGGCGAACCATTAATAAAGTTCAGGATGCAGCACGAAACAAGTGTATTATATTATTTTATATAATCTATGCACTGTATAAAGAAACTAGCTGCCTTCAAAACTTTAATTTGCACTACATCAAATTAGAAAATGTAATAATATTAAATGATAATACAAGTATTTTATTTCAACAGCAGATATTCATTCCAAGAATTACCGCTACAGAACAGCCTGCTATAGCAGTCATTTTATTTTCTCACTGAATTCTCTACACGAGTGACTGTAAATACAACCACAGCACCATCTAGTGTGTACAAAGAGCAATAACTCGAATCTCATGTCTTCTGCTAATACATTTGTTAGAATGACTGGATCAACATGCAGTCAAATCAGAGATATTTCGCAAAACCTTTGTTGTGTGGTGATTACAAACAGTATAGGAAGGCTATACAGCAACGGCCCTTCTATAGCGTTCAAATGTATATTGCAACGCATGAATGATCATTTCAATCCTCCATTTACAGTGCAACAACAAATATTTAATGCCAGATCATCAATAATACTAGACAATGATTAAAAAGTTTATGTATATAGATCATCTGAGCTAAATGTGAACTCGCTGTACTACAGTTAAACAACCCAGTTTCATAAATCTTCATGTTTTTGTTGTCCATAAATGCTTGATGAGAAAATTAAGGCAAATTTGAGTATTTTAACTTCAGCATTTGATCCCAAACTATTCATGGTTTAAAAGTCACCACATTTTTTTTCCACTGGAATTTTACTTGTCCTGGAAAGCAGCCTTTCTCTTCTCAACAAAGGCAGACATGCCCTCCTTTCTGTCCTCCTAAAAATGAGAACACAACAAGTTTAAGTATGAAGTCATTTTTCTTCCTCAAAAAAGGAAATGAATAAATGGAAGAAAAGTGACGCACCGTAGCAAAGGTTGCATGGAACAATCTTTTCTCAAACCGACTGCCCTCAGCTAAAGTCAGTTCAAATGCTGCAGACAAAAGTCATTAAAACTGTCAAAACTTATACATATACATTTTTTGTAGTCAAATTTGGATGCATGAATCTGTTTTAATTAGAAAAGTGCATTACCGGCATTAACAGATTCCTTTGCCATGGCTGAGACCAGTTTGGAATTGCCAGCGATTTTCTCTCCACATTTGATCGCTTCTGGAACCAGCTGATCCACAGGAAATATTTTACTAACCAGGCCTACATAGAAGAATACATTAGTTCATATATTAAAATAAGAAAAGAAGAAAAAGGCTGTAGTGCAAAAGTAAATTTAAAAGACAAACCAGACTGTTTTGCCTCCTGGGCTGAGATTCGGTCTCCAGTGAGAACCATCTCCATCGCAAGGGATTTTCCAACTGCTCTTGTAAGCCTCTGAGTGCCACCAGCACCTGGAACAATACAAAGATGAAATGTTGTGATCTGTAAGTATTGCATTTATATTTCTTTGTCATTTGTAAATCTGAAAAATCATGAAAGGATGCTTTATTGTACCAGGAATGGTCCCAAGCAGGATTTCTGGCTGTCCGAACTGTGCCTTCTCTCCAGCATAGATGATGTCACACATCATAGCAAACTCACATCCTCCGCCAAGCTGGAGAAGACATTATGTTTATGCCTAAATGTAAATTAATGTTAAAAGTCTTTTAGGTGAATGCATTAAAAACATTTACCCACCGCAAACCCATTGACCGCAGCAATAACAGGCTTCTTGACTGTTGATACCCTGTTCCAATGTGCCAAGAAGTTTCCACCATAACACTCTTGGAAGGTTCGATTCTGCATCTCTTTAATGTCAGCACCAGCTATCAAAGCAGATAAAACACACAACAACAGTTTCAAATCAGTTCAATACAACACAACTGCCTTCACCTACAGTTTCACACCTGCAAAGGCTTTTTCACTCCCGGTGACGACGATTGCTCCCACTTCACTGTCCATCTCAAATGCATCGAGCGCTTTGCCCACCTCCAGCATGAGTCCATCACAAAGAGCATTCAGGGCCTTTGGTCTGTTCAGCTGGATGAAGCCAACATTCTTCTTTTCACCCTTTTTGTCCACCAGAATGTACTCATACTGGACACCTGCAAAAGACATGAAGGTAAGGGTCAAAGTAACTCACACTGGCTCCATATGATTTTTAATAAATGATTATAAAAAATACATGATCTCAGCATTGCTGACTCAGCTTTTAATTCTGGAGATATCCCTAATAATCTCATTAAGACAGGGGTCACCAACATGGTGCCCCTGAGGATCACATGAGTTGCCCGTGGGCCTGTTATAAAATTAGCTTACCATAGCACCACATACCAGTAAGCTGCATCTAATACTTTTTGTAGCTATTCTTTTTAAATCACACTTGCATTGATTGATATTTATCTGTTTCCAATCATTGTTGACAACTATTGTGATAAATCATTAACATGATTATTAATAACATATAATTAAAAGTAAATTGAGCAAATTTGTTATTAGGAAGTGTGTATCAAACTGGTAGCCCTTCACATTAAACGATACCCAAGAAGTAGCTCTCAGTTTATAAAATGTTGGTGACCCCTGCATTAAGAGTATACATATATCTCTATAATTTCAAATTTAAGTTTGAAATAAGTGTTTCAAATGAAACAGAAGCATACATGAAGCTACTACAATGCAAAATGCCTTTTTTATTTATGTTGATCAAAGATTATGAGCGTTCTTCAAATTTTAAGTAAACTCTCCATCTATTTGCATTGGTTGTTACAATTTATTATCGCTCCTGAGTGAAAACTGTTCAGAGTCTGACTCTGACACTAATTTTATTTCTTCATATAAAGCTAATTGTTCCTTATAACTCTCAACATTGAGGTACATTTGGTTTCATATTCGCACATTCGTTCAGTGACAGCTCCTTATATGTTGTTTACCACAGTATTTTGAATATTCTGACTAAATTAACATGCAAGTATGACTTCAAAACATTAGCACTATTTGATTGACTGTGAACAGTGGTGTACTTTGATAGTCAGTGGCTGCTTATATTATTTCACAACTTAGAATTGAATACTTTTCTGAAATTATATTATAAAAGAAGAAAGTCTAAATGTGTGAAAGTAAGACCAACTTTACCTCAATAATACTCTCAAACACATTCAGCAGTAACGTAACAAAAAACCAGAGCAGACAAATGACGCAAGTTTCCATTCACAACAAAACTCCAGATCCTGAAAACGAAGCGATAATTTTTATCTACACATGATTAAATTACCTGAACTGGATTGCCTTGTCGCTGCTAAAGCAGAGGGCAGCAGTTTGCTGTGTTTGAGAAGTAACCCTGTTGATCTGCAGAGCAGCGCCATGGTTGTGTACAGGGTCAAGGGTAGCGCTGCTGAAGTCGCGCTGGTTGGCTGTCAACAGTGACGTCGGCATAGTCAGGATGCCAGGTAGTGTAACAAAATCCCTCCTTTCTGACAACCGCTTACAGTTCTAATCAAGCTGCTAGAACGAGGCGAGTAATTATTTAATCGTATTAACTTTGTATTTTCACAACTATCCACACCCAAACCTGCAAAACAGTCACTGCCAATGACATAAATGACCTTTTATGCGTTCATTTTAGCCAATGGTGTATGCAATGGTCTATTAGTATTGTTACTTGTTATTGAATTATAGTTATTATTAAAGCACACACATACTATTTCATATTCTATTTGTTTTTATTAATTAATATTTTCAGATAAATATATATTATTTTATTTTACATTATATTGTAAAGAATTTGCACTATTATAATAATGTGGGGTTCTTTCTGTCAACTGTTATAAAACTATTTTTGGTAAAGGGGATACTATAGATACATTTATTTAAAATACAGCTCTCTTTATACATTAAAATATACATTGCAAGTTTCAGCTTTCTTACTTATAGGTAACTGAAGTTTTTTCACACTATAAAACTATAATCAGTTAATAAATATAAGCGTTATTTTATATCCGAGAAAACAGCAGCTTCCCCGTTCAGTTGTGTCTGTTTATAGCGCACTGATGACCAGATTAAAGATGGCGGCCGCGTTGACGTATCAGAGCAACACCGAAGCAGACCACGAGGCGTCTAGCTATTTATTACATATATATGATTTAGCCTATATTTTGAGACACTAAAGTTGAGACTACATTGCTCTCTGGTGGCCTTAACTGAACTATATATTTTTCAGAGATTACATACATGTTAGATACAGATTATATATGTCTGAAAAATAAGACACACATGCATAAAATAGAATATAAACATACAAAAGTTAATCAAACTAAGAATTAAAGTTGCTATTATTTACTCAAAAGATAATATAATCAAAAGATAGTGTTACAGGGACCCACATACTTAAAATTATTAGTATTATTATTATATTCTACAGTGCTTCACGAAAATTGCGCACTGCACCTTTAAGATAATTGAATAAGGCGGCGTATTGGCGTTGCTGTGGTTACCATATTCAGTGGCGTTCTAAAAAAGAATGTGTTCGAAAAACCGTCGATGACGTTGAGAAACTGGTGTGACCTGCATTAAGTTTCTGGCCATCGCTGACATTGGACGGTATGTAAAGATCTTTCTAAAATGTAATTTAGGTTATTATATTTGGTTGTTTCGATGTGCTTTTGGTGCAGGACACTAAATATTTTAGTATTTCTCTCTGTCATATCGTTTCAGAATATTTTATTAGTTTTTCCACATATTTTTTCGGTTAGACTGTAGATTGTAATGAATGTTGGTTGGAATTGGAGATTGCTGTATTGTTGAATTTTATATTTATTTTCAATATATTTATTTGATTTTGAAAAAATATATGTAAATAAATTTTAAAAATGTAGTTTATGCTGTCTGCCTGTTCAACATTTGCAGATTTTCATTGTCATTTGTTCTATTGACAGTGTTACTAATTATTGTAATGCATTAATCTATTCTAAGTTTATATATTGTCCTCTTGTAGAGTATTTACTTAAAGCTGCGAAATATTATTTGTTAGTATCAGAACAGAATCAGACTGGAGACAATGATAGATAAAACTTCAAAAGAGTGGTATTAAGATAAATGAAGGACTTGATATCTTTCTATTGTATTTTACAGATTGGAATGGACCACATGGAGAAAAAGGGAATCACACATCTCAGCAACAACTGGAAATTGATAGTCAGGAATTTCTTTTAAAAAACAAGATGGACAGATGCATTGATGGACGCCCTTCCAAGATGAAAGAGGTGGTGTTTGGTATAAATAAGTGGTTCTCAAACTTTTTCAACTCAGAAAGAATTTGTCTCTCCAAGTACCACCTAATGACTAGCATTGAAATATAGTAGCGAAGTAGGCCTTATTAATCAGCACAGTTCAAAAACAAAGCAGATTTATCCATCAAAATAATGTCAGCCTCTTTAAACATTATAAATAGTCTGAACATTAACACTGTACTGTGCTTACATTTAAATCAAACTGCGTTTAAAAGTTTTTAAATCGGTACTGTTCGTAAAAAGTAAAAATTAAATAAACAAAATGCTGTACTTAAAAGTAAAGTATTAGCATAGTAGCCTATATTAATCAAAACCTGGAAATGTAGCTTGAACCTCATGAATCTATCATATGAGTCATCATATTCATATCAAATATAAACCATTTTTGATGTATTTTGAAATACAGGCTGCATGTGCATATGACATATTTGTATACAGGAGACAGGGGATAGTTGTACTATTATTTCTTTATATATCTTTGAGATCTTGAGTTAAGAGTGTCAGCTATTAAATTGCGTTTAAGTTTTGTTTGCAGCAGAACAGAAGATGTGAACAGTTTAGTTTCATACAGGAGGAGTGAAATGTTACAATTGACCCCACAGTCTGGGTTAGTTGTAACACACCCCGTGGTGAGATGTAAGTTATGATTTCCACCGGGGTGAGATGTAACATTATAAAATAAGAATTATGACCAAAAATGGATTTGAAATCTTTTTATTCAACATTAAGCTTTCAGTATCATTTGTGTGTCTGTTTTAAGCTGAATAGAATGTGCAAATGTGCATCAGCTTCAACTATTCAACACTATTTGTGTGTGCAGGCTTTATGAGTGCACAGAGGTCAAACACTAAACTCAAACTACTTTGATTTCTTTCTCTTTAGAAAGCTATAGGAATACTGAAATTAATAATATAAATACAGTTTTAACTCTGCTTGGGGTTGGTGGTAACATTTTCACTGATGTTATTAGCAAGACTGTTGTTGTTACAACTGAAACAGCATTATGTGGTCATGAATCTTCTCCTCGCAGATAACAGCTAAAACAATATTAACCATGTGGATCAAATATAGGCTATCCACACTCAGACACACAGGCATTGCTATCTCAAAAGTAATTAAGTAAAAAATAATACTTAGCTGGAATTATATTTTTTCTTGTCTAATATCTGCTGTGTCTGTCACAGGACTTTACATTTTCATATGGGAACTGATATGACCATGTGTGAATTGAATCAGCTGGTTATAGAGATTGTAGGTTTCACAACTATTCCCTGTCTCACCCTTGAAATCTAAACATGAACTTGTATTTTAAATGTATGTTTCACAATTACATATTCAAATGAGAGATTAGATCTGCTTACAGCGCATGATATACAATATGTGTGTCAGAAAGTCAGCCAGTGATTATAAATACACCATTTGACCAATTCATATGTCATTTATAAATTAAATCGTGCAGTATTTTAGTGATTTGGTGGAATTGCGATCATAACTTTAGTAAACCGTGGAGTTTGCGTAAACTGCACCTGACCACTGTTTTCAGGCCAACTCGGGTACAGTATGCAGGTGCTCCGTCTGTGCATACAGAGACTAACTTTAATTGTTGTGTTTCTCCAAGCTTTAAATATGACAAATTTGCTTGAGTCTATGTTCTGCACCTTTTGAATCACATCCAGATTCATTTAAATCTGAGGAAACAAACTAAATTGTAAACCACATCGCTTGGCTATTTACAAAGCAACTGACTTTAGGCTACAAAGTATTTCGAAAACGCATTATTTTACACAACTATGAACACGTTAGCAATGATGCAGCATGAGGAAATTCCTGAGTTTGCAGTTATTGCAAGACTGGTCTGCAAAAGCACTTCTCTAGCACTTATCTGCTTGAAAGCTCCACAGTTTCTTTCTTCTGATGACATAATGCACTAAACATACTAATCACAATGGTATGCTTGTCAGTACAGAGAACAGCCAATGCTCATCACATTGGTATTATAAAGAGTGTTCATATATTTTTATTATTCTGTGATTCCTTCATGCATCACTAGAAGGACGCCTGCGTACCCCACTTAGAGAACCAATGGTATAGAGTTAGTTAAGTCTGTGTCAGGTTTTTTCCATTTTCAGCCAATGGAGAGCAGGCAAAAAAGGGAGATTAACAAGAGAACATGTATCTAAAAATGCTGAAGAACAGCAGGGAGGGTTTTGTTGGGGCGGCCTTTGTTTGTTTTTTGCAGATTGGAGTGTAGCAAAAGGAGGAGACCCACAAGGGGAACAGTGGAGATATACTTGAAGACCTGGAGCTCAGGAAACAGGTAGAACTGCTTGAACAGACTGAACAATGGAGTTAGTTTCCAAAGCAATGTATTAAGATTAATTAAAGACTTGATATGTTTTTCTTTGGCAGATTGGCACGGAGGAAACAGGGAAACACACCTTCAGTCGATCCTAATAAATTAGGTACAGCCTTAAATTTTTTAAGTCGAATCAAATCAACTTCATAAACATTTTATAAACAATTTTTTTTTACAGTGTCACAGAAGAGACGGGATTCAGATGAATAATATAAACAATGTTTATTTACAGGATTGCATGTGAGTATAAGCAGGTGAGTATGTTGATGCGGAGGATAAGTCCATAAATATAAACTGGATATTTGACTGTGCAGGCTTGGCGAATGGACATGGATACCACAGATGGCAAACAGGATGAAAACCAGACGAGGAACCAGGAGACACCACACTGGGAGAGACATGGAAGACACAGGAAACGCAAGTAAACTGATATCTTAGAATCAACTCTGACTGTGTATCTGCTTGTTAAGTCATGACGTATGAAATAGTGTTACCAGGTCCAAGCCACTACTCATTTGAATTGAGAAAATATTCGTTTAAGACCTCTTTTTAGCCATATCACACATTAAAGTCTCTGGATTTGCTACATCAAAGACATGGATATTAGGCATGGATTATATATATATATAGTGATTTTCTGAAAGTTTTACATCACTTGTAAATGTTTATTTTTAACATTTGTAGGGTCTCCGCATACAGTTTGATAGAGCAATTTGGTCCCGGAAGCAGCTTTACATGACATCACCCTTAACAAGCAGATAGGAATTCAATCCTTTCTTTACTAGCAAAGAGGTCAATGATGTATTATTTTTTTGTAGTTTATGCTGTCGGCCTGTTCAACATTTGCAGATTTTCAAAGTTATTTTTCTTTTGACAGCTTTACTAATTATTGTAACATGTTTAACTATTCTAAGTTTATAGATTGTCGTCTTGTGGAGTATTTATTTATAGCTGCTAATAATATTTGTTAGTATTAGAACAGAATCAGACTGGAGACACTGATAGAGGAAACTTCCAAAAAATGATATTAAGATAAATGAATGACTTGATATCTTTCCATTGTATTTTACAGATTGGAATGGACCACATGGAGAAAAAGGGAATCAAACCTCAGCAATGACTGGAAATTGATGGTCAGGAATTTTTTAAAAATCCAGTCGATGGGTGCATGGATGGACGTCCTTGCAAGATACAAGAGTGGTAATCAGTTTGGATGAGGAATTAGGCCTTGTCTGTGTGAGGTTTTTCTTTTTCAGGTAATGGAGATAGAGCAGGCAGAAGAGGAGCAGGTATGGCTTTGTTGGGGCTGTTTTTGTCTTTTACAGATTGAAGTGGAGCAGAAGAAGGAGACTCAAAAGGCAGGAGATATGCTTCAAGACCTGGAGCTCAGGAAACAGGTAGAACTGCTTAAACAGATTGAACAATGGAGTTAGTTTCCAAAGCAATGTATTAAGATTAATTGAAGACTTGATATCTTTCTCTTTGCAGTTGGAGCATGTGGAGCAACAGGGAAACACACCTGCATGTATGGATGTCCTTCCAGGAGGAAGGGGGTGGTGGTGGGCATAGATAGATGTCTTGTCTGTGGCTGTTATTTACACTGTAGGTAATGGAACCACAACAGACAAAAAAAGAGAGCCTCACAAGCGGAATGGTGAATATTTATCTGAAGAACGCTGGAGAACATTTGGCTTATTGCTGGAGATCAAGTCTTGTTTTTGTCTTTTGCAGATTAGACTGGGGAATCAGACCTCAGCAATGACTGAAAACTGATAGTCTGGTTAAGTATTTCCTGAATGGATGGGTGGATGAATGAATGAAAAATAGATGTCCTTCCAGGAGGAAGGGGTGGTGGTGGGCTTAGATGGTTAGCTAGTTGTCTTGTCTGCGACAGGTGTTTTTTTTTTCGAGTAATGGACACACAGCAGGCAGAAGGACACTCTCACAAGAGCATCTGTTGAGATTTATCTGAAGAACACTGGAGAACATCTTCCATTGCTGGAGTTCAGCAATCACATAGAGCTCTGTTAGTCCTGTTGTTTTCTTTTGCAATTACACACCTCAGCAATGACTGGAAATGTCCTGGTTACGTCCTTAACCCACGTTCCCCGAATAGGGAATGGAGATGCGTGTCTGTAGATAAACAAACTTTTGGTGAGTGCGTCAGACAACCAATCACTTCTGAAGATAAGAAAACAGGCCAATTAAATGGCAATTGAATTGGCGGAGCTTAGCTCAACAGCTGAACTGATAGAGACACAGCTGAAAAAAATGGTATTATGATAAATGAATGACTTGATATCTTTCTATTGTATTTTACAGATTGGAATGGACCACATGGAGAAAAAGGGAATCACACACCTCAGCAACGACTGAAAATTGATGGTCAGGATTTTTTTAAAAATCCAGTCGATGGGTGCATGGATGGACGTCCTTGCAAGATTGAAGAGTGGCAATCAGTTTGGATGAGGAATTAGGCCTTGTCTTTGTGAGGTTTTTCTTTTTCAGGTAATGGAGATAGAGCAGGCAGAAGAGGAGCAGGTATGGCTTTCTTGGGGCTGTTTTTGTCTTTTGCAGATTGAAGTGGAGCAGAAGAAGGAGACTCAAAAGGGAGGAGATATGCTTGAAGACCTGGGGCCTCATGTATCAACGCTGCGTACGCACAAAAACTTTGCGTACGCCAAGTTTCACGCTCAGAATCGCTCACGTTTGGATTTACTAACAATGAACTGAACGTGGGAATGTGCGCAGGTTCACGGCAGCTTTCTGGCAGGCGTACGCACATTTTTTGTGCGTGTCTGTTTTATTTCCATTGGCGACTCCTAGAGGCAGTTGTGTTAAATTGCACTCTACAAAGTGACTGAGCCTTGCAATGGCAGCTGTATGAGACGGGTTCATCGATCTAGCAGGTAAATAAGATTTCCATACCATACAGTTGAGCAGCTAAACATTAAAGCACAATTTGCAGCGGTCGCCTGTTTTCCCAATGTAATCTGAGCGATCTACTGCACACACATTGCTATAAAGGCACCATCTGAAGATGAATTTGCATGCGTGAATCAGAAACATTTCCATTCAATAAATGTGCAAATAAAATATGATGCACAAACTTATTAATGATTCCTACTTGTCTTTCTCGTGATAAATAGTAGGCAAAATCTGATATGTAGCGGGGGAAAAAACAAGAAATAGTTCATCAGACGCTGGATTCGAGCCGAGTTCATGCTCGAACGTGTCAAGACATGATGACATACGTCTTAGGAGCGCGCCACTGAGACTGTTGCGAGTGCTGCAACATTTTACACCTATAAACCACACTATTTCTTTTTTTTTAATGCACTCAGTGCGATGTTCAGACCCAACTGTGTTAACCGCATCAGCTAAACTCTCCCACTCTATTTTTTTTCTTTTGTTGTTAATTCCGGAGAACAAACTTGCAAATAACACCGCTTTTCTCCTGTCTACCTCCGAAAGGAGCACCACCAATTCACATTCTGTTCAAAGTTTCTCTTCTTGCTTGCTTTTGCCTTTGCTTTTTCGTTGGGTTTTGCCATTAGCATAGTCATTAGCATATTCATACGGGGGAGGAGGCAGGGAGGGGTTTTGCGCTCGTGCATGTTGCGCTCAGTTTCACGTTCATTCGGATGTACAAAAGAATATGCGTGAGATTCGGCGTACGCAGTGTTTCATACATCTGAATTTTTTTCTGCGTACGCACATTTACAGCTTTGTGCGTACGCAATGTTTTAGTAAGATTTCCACGCAAGTCTTCGTACATGAGGCCCCTGGTGCTCAGGAAACAGGTAGAACTGCTTAAACAGATTGAACAATGGAGTTAGTTTCCAAAGCAATGTATTAAGATTAATTGAAGACTTGATATCTTTCTCTTTGCAGTTGGAGCATGTGGAGCAACAGGGAAACACACAGATGGTGCATGTATGGATGTCCTTCCAGGAGGAAGGGGGTGGTGGTGGGCATAGATAGATGTCTTTTCTGTGGCTGTTATTTACATTGTAGGTAATGGAACTACAACAGACAGAAAAGAGAGCCTCACAAGCGGAATGGTGAATATTTATCTGAAGAACGCTGGAGAACATTTGGCTTATTGCTGGAGATCAAGTCTTGTTTTTGTCTTTTGCAGATTAGACTGGGGAATCAGACCTCAGCAATGACTGAAAACTGATAGTCTGGTTAGGTATTTCCTGAATGGATGGGTGGATGAATGAATGAAAAATAGATGTCCTTCCAGGAGGAAGGGGTGGTGGTGGGCTTAAATGGTTAGCTAGTTGTCTTGTCTGTGGCAGGTGTTTCTTTTTCGAGTAATGGACACACAGCAAGCAGAAGGACACTCACAAGAGCATCTGTGGAGATTTATCTGAAGAACACTGGAGAACATCTTCCATTGCTGGAGTTCAGCAATCACACAGAGCTCTGTTAGTCCTGTAGTTGTCTTTTGGAATTACACACCTCAGCAATGACTGGAAATGTCCTGGTTACGTCCTTAACCCGTGTTCCCCGAATAAGGAACGGAGACGTGTGTCTGTAGATAAACAAACTTTTGGGAGTGAGTCAGACGACCAATCACTTCTGAAGATAAGAAAACAGGCCAGTGAAATGCCAATTGAATTGGCGGAGCTTAGCTCCACAGCTGAAGTGATAGAGACACAGCTGGAAAACATGGTATTAAGATAAATTAATGACTTGATATCTTTCTATTGTATTTTGCAGATTGGAATGGACCACATGGAGAAAAAGGGAATCACACACCTCAGCAATGACTGAAAATTGATGGTCAGGAATTTTTTAAAAATCCAGTCGATGGGTGCATGGATGGACGTCCTTGCAAGATTGAAGAGTGGCAATCAGTTTGGATGAGGAATTAGGCCTTGTCTGTGTGAGTTTTTTCTTTTTCAGGTAATGGAGATAGAGCAGGCAGAAGAGGAGCAGGTATGGCTTTGTTGGGGCTGTTTTTGTCTTTTGCAGATTGAAGTGGAGCAGAAGAAAGAGACTCAAAAGGCAGGAGATATGCTTCAAGACCTGGAGGTCAGGAAACAGGTAGAACTGCTTAAACTGATTGAACAATGGAGTTAGTTTCCAAAGCAATGTATTAAGATTAATTGAAGACTTGATATCTTTCTCTTTGCAGTTGGAGCATGTGGAGCAACAGGGAAACACACAGATGGTGCATATATGGATGTCCTTCCAGGAGGAAGGGGGTGGTGGTGGGCATAGATAGATGTCTTTTCTGTGGCTGTTATTTACATTGTAGGTAATGGAACCACAACAGACAGAGGAGAGAGCCTCACAAGCAGAATGGTGAATATTTATCTGAAGAACGCTGGAGAACATTTGGCTTATTGCTGGAGATCAAGTCTTGTTTTTGTCTTTTGCAGATTAGACTGGGGAATCAGACCTCAGCAATGACTGAAAACTGATAGTCTGGTTAGGTATTTCCTGAATGGATGGGTGGATGAATGAATGAAAAATAGATGTCCTTCCCGGAGGAAGGGGGTGGTGGTGGGCATAGATGGTTAGCTAGTTGTCTTGTCTGCGGCAGGTGTTTCTTTTTCGAGTAATGGACACACAGCAGGCAAAAGGACACTCTCACAAGAGCATCTGTGGAGATTTATCTGAAGAACACTGGAGAACATCTTCCATTGCTGGAGTTCAGCAATCACATAGAGCTCTGTTAGTCCTGTCGTTGTCTTTTGGAATTACACACCTCAGCAATGACTGGAAATGTCCTGGTTACGTCCTTAACCCATGTTCACCGAATAGGGAACGGAGACGCATGTCTGTAGATAAACAGACTTTTATGAGTACGTCAGATGACCAATCACTTCTGAAGATAAGAAAATGGGCCAATGAAATGCCAATTGAATTGGCAGAGGTTAGCTCCACAGCTGAACTCCACACCTGAAACTCAGGTTCTGTGGCAGTGGAGATACACGTCTCCGTTCCCTATTTGGGAAACGTGGGTTACGGACGTAACCAGGACGTTCCCCTTTATAAGGGAACTCCAACGTGTGGCTGAAGATAAACAGACTTTTGGGATGCAGTATGGAAAACACCACAGCAGCTAAGCCCATCACGCTCCTAATATGCAGTTTGCCAAGCGAAGCGTGAGCGCACTGACATCACCAAAAGCGCAACCTTCCAACGTCCCCTAGGCCAAAAATATTACCATTACATGGGAAATATAAGAATTAGATTGGGGGTTGTAATGTACTTTTACCTAGCTAATATAGACTAGGAATTTTAAAAATACGACATTTCGTTGGGAAAGCGTGCCAGTCCCCGAACGGGGGAGACGCTGCGGAGATCACCTGCTACCCAAGGGGGAAGACTTAATGGTAATTGAGCATATGGACTAGCCCTAATGAGGGGGAGTGCTACATATGATAAGCTGGTTAACGGTTAGGGAAGACACGGGTCCGCCTGAAAGGGGGAACACACAGTGGTAAATAATGCATATGGCATCAACAAAACAGGGGAATGCACATAGCTGGCACTGAACCTCAGTATGCAGGTAGACCAGATGACAGACAACACACTGAGCCATGCACTCGACTCCTCCGCTGAGTCAGGTGCTGGGGGCCTCGGATGAATTCTCTAGGGTTCACCCAAAAAGGGAAACTTACTAGTAGAATAGAAAATGCGCACGCATCTCCTGGTTAGGGAGCGTTTATTGACATAGAGCTTAATTTCCTCATGATTGACCGGTGTAACCAGTAATCGGGAGGAAAGGCACTCATCACCTCATATTAAAAGGAGGCAGTAGGAGCCTTGAAACAAGGTGAACCGAGGTTACTGGAACATTTTGCTGACTGAAAATGCCACCAGATTCCTAACCCTCCTGATATCAGTACGATCAGTAGAGCTGCCTAAAGGACAAAAAACTTAGATACTGATCGAGTGGCTCAACGGATTTAATCATAACCCTTGGGGCTAGAGAGATCCCAAGGGGGCGGAAGAGTGAGCGGGGATGGAATAACCATCTCGCACCATGCGTCTCTGAGAAACGGGCTGATAAGGTTATGCTTACCCAGCGTGCTTCCATCCCCAGTATTTTAGAATGGGGATGATCGCACGGCAAACCTTCAGTGTGGAGGGAGACAGCCTGTGCTCCAGTTATCCTGTAGGAAGAAAACACAACACTAATCTGGCATGTCCGAGGGTTTTCTCAGAGAGAATTCCACACAACGAATAGACTCCACTGCAGAACATTGGCATGACTAATAGGGTGCCCTAGCCTGAGTGACTGTGTTAACCATCACACTGATAGGTCACTTAAGTCCACCGCGCTCTGTCTAGAAACCATCCAAGGAGGTTCCAGAGCACTGCATGGGTGCCAGATGGGTGCCTGTCCCAGAAAAATGAAAGTGTTTTTCTGGGTAATTTATCAGGGAGGGCCATCACGAGGAGTGTGATTCCGGAAACTCTGAAGCGGTTGGGCCAGAGAGGCGCAACGAGCGAGACCCGCTCCTCGTCTCCCTGGCCTTGCACAGTGTCTGTGCGAGCAGGCTCACTGGGGAAAAGACGTAACCCGTATTGCATAACCCTGGGCCAGCTGAGAGCCAGCGCCTTTGTGCAGAGCTGGGAAAGCAGCCAGCGAAGGGCCGCTCGGGAGAAACAGCAGGCGGACCTCGGCTTCTCTGAAACATGCCCATAACAGCTAGAATGTACTGGGGTGGAGTTTCTGTTCTCCCAGAAACATAACGGTCCTGAGAGCATATAAGCTGGCATGGAGAGCTTGTACGGGATATGAACAGCGCGTAGCTTTTTAGCCGCAAGACTCCAGAGCAGCAGATGGCGAGCATGTTGCGGTAGCGCACACCACCCAAACGGTTGATGTACGCTATCGCAGCCGTGCTGACCATCCTAATCAACACATGTATCCCCGACGAAGAGCGAAAAACAATGCCATACGGCTCCAGGCAGTTGAAATGCCAATGCAACGGGGATTCGGTTTACAAACCTGCAGCTGCCTGCTCGCACAACCCGTCAGCCCAAAATGGAAGCATCTGTCAAAATGACAGCATATATAGACACATGTGCTTTGGGTACTTAGGCCCGTAGATGGCAAGATCCATCCAGGGGCTGAAGGTGCGAAGACTCAGCATGGTGACATACACCCTGTGAACAAAAAAAATCACAGTCAATGAATAATCAAAAATGCAGATGCATCCTCCACGCATGGAAACAGAGAGCCATAATGGGAGAACTTTTACTACCATGCTCGGCCCCCCGTCGCACATCAGAAAAATCACATTATAAGAAGGGAGAGAGCGAGACCTGGAGTGATCGCCCTTCAGGTCTATAGCTGCAAGCAATCCCACGAATCCACGCACTAGGTAATGCGTTTCTGCATAAGCATCTTGATCGGCATCCTGAACAGAAGCTAGATCAAAACGCGCAGATAGGATTGGTATAATCCACCGCCCTCTGGATACGATGAAGGGGAGGGGTAAACTCATTCTTCATCTTGGCTGGAGGACTAGCTTGATTGTATCCTTAGCTAGGAGGATAACAATCTTCTCACGCGAGACAGGGGTGGCATAGCAAATAATTGCTTAAATACACACCCTTGAACTCGGGAGGCCAACAGTAAATTGAAACACATGGCCGAGTCTGAACACCCACGTGAGCTACCATAATGTGCTGAGCAGCGCTAACCAGGCTGACAAAGTCCGAATAAGCTGCATCACCGGAACGATCGCTGACGTACCCACGGAGGGGCAGCTTCGGAGTGCTCACCCCGGGAAGCAGAGTGTCCCGAGAAAGAGGTGAAAATAAAAAGTTGACTCTTACCTTCCTCCCAGGATCCCGCGGAGTGGCTGGAGGTGCGAGAAAGGAGGTCATCCTCTGGCGCCCTCAAATCTGTGACGAAATGCACCAAAGCTAAGAGCAGGAAGGCAGAGGGAGGAAAAGCCGCTCTTTTGGGATTGTTACATTCACGGGGGAGCCCCGGCCTCCACCTGGGAAAGAATGGTCCATTTCCTCTCCCAGCGGCCCGCCTCGGGTTCGCTTTGCGGTCCGATAACTGAACTTATAGGCCACCTGTGACGGGAGCGTCAACTCCTCGCGGAGGGCCTCGGCTCGTTCACTTAGTCAGTCTGTGATGGTGAAGCATTTTGACGCCACGGGAAGAGTGCACTCGGCGAGGAACGGCCAGCGCGAACGGGTCTGATAGAGCAATTTTCTGAGGATGACCTGCTCCATCGTGTATGGCTGATATTTCACCACCAAGGACTCCTGGGTGAAGTCCCAGACGGTGTCATCGAGAAGGCCTACCTGGGATATGGACACACTAAGAAAGTGTACTTTGTCAACGCAGCACATATCTTCAGCATAAGCGAGGGTGGCATTTCCAGACCATTATGTTGCCATCGTCCTTCCTAGGGCATGTGTGGCTGACTTGAAGGTCATGAGAGCATAGTGGATCACCATGCAAAGCTTACACATAAGCCTGGGGAAGAACGGCCCCTGTGCAGCACAGCCAGGAGGCCGTGTGATCGCTATGCGCCCCTGGGAAGAAGCAGACTGGAGCTGGAAGATTCATCTTAAATCAGCCCCCACGTCACACTCTCTAGTCGGTCCAGCAGTGGGACTGAGGGACAAGCTATCTCCAACCGCACTGCTGAAACAGCCCAGGAAGCGCAGCCATTTTGTCTAATTCGAGAACCGTAACCTCGCATTGCATCCTGTAGGATGGAAGCGAGCCCATTCTGTTACCGCACAACCACCCGAAGCTTGGATGGAGTGGGGCCGGGCCCGTGGGCCGGGAGGCGATGGATAAACCCCCACTGATCCTCAGATCTGAACGCGTGCCAACCGCTTTCACAGGGAGCAATGAGGGTGGCTGAAGCCGCGATCTCAGCTGTGCAACAGCCATGCCCTCACAGTGAGGGCATCAACATGCTGGACCCCCAGACCTGTCATGCGATACCAGTGCCCATCATCCGGAGATAGGAACCACCGCATCCAGAAACACACAGTCAGAACAGCGTCTTGTAAAAGACTAGTTAATTGACTGTTGCTCACTTAAGGAATCTGCCTCTTTAAATGGAAACTGCTCTGTTGTGCACACCAGCGAAATGCTCAGGGGACAGGAATGCCAGATCGACCGCTGCTGTTGCGTCTCCCCTGCACTGGTGAGTAAACTTGAAATCAGGTTGGCAGATTGCGTGTCTTCAGTCTCGTGATCGGGTCTGAAGCAACAATTCTGAGGAGCTGACTCCCAACAGCAAACTGATATAGCCTTACTGAGCTCATCAGTTCAGCTGTGAAGCTAAGCTCCGCCAATTCAATTGGCATTTCATTGGCCCGTTTTCTTATCTACAGAAGTGATTGGTCGTCTGACGCACTCCCAAAAGTCTGTTTATCTACAGACACTCGTTGGAGTTCCCTTATGAAGAGGAACTAAAGGTTAGACGTTAGGTATTTCCTGAATGGATGAATTAATTAATTAATTAATTAATGAAAAATAGATGTCCTTCCAAATGGAAGGGGGTGGAGGTGGGCTTAGATTGTAAGATGTCTTCTCTGTGGCGGTTATTTCAATTGTACACTGTTAACCCTTGCTGTAGATTATGCAGTAAATAACCCTAAAATAGCCAGTATTTTACTGTAAAACAAATGAAATATGATAATGAAATTTACTTTATGTAGCCATTACAGGCACTAGCTGTAATACAAAATGGTAAATTATTGTTCAGCCTTTACTGTCCTACTCGGATGCTTTATGTGACTATTTAAGGAGTTGCGTTTATCTTAAGGCAAAAAACAATGCTTTAGGCATTAACACACACATACTGTACACAGGCTCTCTGTCTTATTCTAAACATAAATGTGTTGCCCCTCTGTGGGTGCCAGGTGTTTGATTTGTTTACTTCTGAGTGTGCTCCATTCTCTGTTTATCAGTTCAGATGCAGAGTCTGATATGTTTTGAGCCTTAAATAAAAATATATGATGAGTAATTAAAATGTGTTTAAATGTTTGAGGGTTTCTAAAATAATGTCTGTATTAAATCAAATTGTTATCTTTTTTTTTTTTGACAAAAATGTTTCTAACCATAGTATTTGTATGTTCTATGGATATGCTTAATATATATTGTAATTGGGATAATGAGGGAACAACACACAACTGGCCATGGAACAGCTGAGAAGCCGATTGTCCCATTACTTTTAGTCCTTTAACAAGGAGGCACATATGCAAACTGTTCCTACACCGTTCACCTTATTTAGATGTAAATACCCTAAAATTAAACCTGACAGTTAAATTAAATCTTTTCATTTTAAATCCATTGTGTTAGTGTATAGGGCCAAAAATGTTAGAATTGTGTCAATGTCCCAATATTTATGCACCTGACTGTGTATATATGTATAAAATGATCTTTGTATTTTCACATAGATGTGCACGCTAACCTGCAAACACAGCCACTGCCAATCATGGCATAAATGACCTTTTATTTGTTCATTTTAGCCAATGGTGTTTAATGGTCTATTATCATTGTTAATACTCGAATTATATGATTATACTATACATAGCACACACATACTATTTCTTATTCTATTTGCTATTATTAAATATATTTTCAGATATATAATTTTATTCTAAATTATTGTATAATTTGTACATTTAGCTATAATAATGTGCGATTCTTTACTTTTTATAAACTGTTTTTGGTAACTGCTATAAAATTAAAAAAGGATTTCATTGGTAAAAGAGGATACATTTATTGATAATAGATCTCTCTTTATACAATAAAATATACATTGCAAGGTTCAGCTTTGTTCTAGCTAACTAGAGTTTTTTCCACGCCATAAAATTTTAATCAGATTATTATTATAAGCGTATTTGTATCCTATATCTGAGAAAACAGCTGTTTATAGCGCACTGATGACCGTCACCGGATCAAGATAGTGGCCGCGTTGACGTACCAACGGACCTCTATTGGTCACTTATGCGGATGAACTGTACGTTGTAGAAAATGGGCAAATTGATAGGATTTTTCTTTTACGTAGCCCTTTGCGAAAATATGACATGAATAAAATATAAATAAATATAAATAAGTGAAAGTCTCTAGATCTACAGTCTTTAATGAAAACCACTGTCTTTCCACCAAATATAGATTTTTTTCAATCATATAAATTGTTGTGTTGTCAAAAAATGTATATAAACACTGGAAATACAGTATTACTGTTATATTATCAGTATTAATTACCAGTATTTTTTCTCTTTAACAGTAGAATAATTCAGTAAAGGGCTTGCTGTTTGTGAGTTAAAAGTAAATAGTTCGTTTTTTAAACCAAAGGAGATCCTGCAAAATTAATAAACATGTAGTTTCATCGTGGCAATTCTGTTATACTGAATCAAACAATATTTCAATCTATATTATGGCTACAAAATGATTAAAAACAACATACTTTGATTCAATGTGCTTTCTATGAACATAAAAGCAGTTTTGTAATTTAATTTAAAGTAATTTTATGCAAAACCAACAGATTATGCAGATTACAGAACTTGATATACCATTTAAAGTTGTGTTTAATCTTGCAAACAAACACTATTAAAACCTCAGGTGAAGCGTCATGTTAAATGCTTAAACAAGATGCATTGAAGGTCTTCAGATTTTAAGGATTGATTTATTGGTTTGTAAATCAATTAGAAAAGCACTGGATGGATATTACAAAAAATCATGAAACAACTAAATCTTGCATGTAAAACCAAAACACAATAATGCGTTCACATATCAAGTTTGAAATGCTAATACTGATGACGATCTCAAAACTCTATTAATCATTTTGGGGTACAGTCAGTGTACATTCAGACAATTGTAATGCACATTTTAACCCAAACAAACACTTTATTTTCCTCACACAACTGCTATTCTTCAGGTGCACCACATGAATGTCATCAGATTTACAGGGGGATTTGCAAAGATGTAATGCCTCGGCAAATTTGATCATTTTATTTGATTTTAATTACAACACTTACTGAAAACAATTCAAAGAATGGTGCATTACAAAAAAAAGTGCAACTTAAAGGGATTCAATTTAAGATTCCAAACACCAACGCCATATTTCAATAGGCACATTTCTCAAAACTCACTAAACCAATTTAAATTGATTGTACAACTATGTCAAACATTACAAACTAACTGTGGAGAGAAATACACTTACACTGAAAAACTCTCCAAATAAAAGAAAAGATTTGTTGGGCTCTAAAAAGAAAAAGTACCATGCTACACTGAGTAAAGAAATCAACTAAAGTGTTGATGAACTGGAAACCAGTGTCCGCTCAGAATAAATATCACCTACACTATCAAACACTCTCTTTAGTGTCCACACATTATTGCAGAAGCAAAACAAATAGGTATCTATAAAAACGAAGCACACGGAGGCCCTGTTTAGTATATGTACATCCAAAAGTTCAAAGGCTTTATATCAATAGTCGTCAACCAGGACATTCATTTAAAAACCTCATATACTGTACGTGAATCAGATTGAGATGCCGTTTAATTTAGATACAATAAAAATGAAAATGGAAGCATTAGAACTGGTAAATGGGATAATTACTAGGATCATAGGGAGCAATAATACAGATAAATGCATTTTTACTTTGGATAACAGTGTCAAATGCATGAGCAGGATTTCTTAGAGTAGTCGACATTTGACAATTGTACCGTAGATGCTTAATATCAGGTTATTTCTGCGCAGATTCTCCCTCCCCTATGTTTCAATTATCCAAACACACTGTTCAGAGACTAAATGATGCTCAACATTAAAATGCACAAGACAGAATGGAGCAACTGGCATATCACAGATTTAGCAGTTAGAAACACTGTTAAGCGTAGCATACTGGTCCAGATGATTAATAGCTTAATGTGTCATATTAAAGTGTTTGCCATGAAACGTCAGATGAGAATGTGGCCAAGGATCATATTGCTTGTCGCAGTACCGATTCACAATGACCTTTGTGAAGTTTGTGATTCATAAACACCAGCAGAGAAAAAATGGCCGACATATTCATAGTATAAAAGGTCTGTTTTCATCAAGAATGAGAACTGTAAACTGTAACTTTGCAAATGCAAGTCAGTTTAAGGAGTCAGACAATTTAAGACCCAAAATGGAATTTCTGTCATCATTTACTCTTGGTCTAAATCTTTTTGAGTTTCTTTCTTTGGTTGAACACAAATAAAGATGCATTGAAAAATGTGGGGGGAAAAAGCCATTGACTTTCTTTAAAATAT